GTTAGCTTTTGAGCTCAATAATATAATAATGCAGAAATGGGTGTCTGCTCAGTTGTCAAGATGTTAAGGGTTCACGCGCAATGAAAGTCCAGAGTTCGACTTTCAGGAGCGTGGTGGTGAATGCACACTATTGAGAAGTCTCATACTCGAAACAAATGCCGTCTAGTTTTTCCAGGTTTTTACTGGTGGTCTAACTAAGATTAATTTGTGATATCTACTCTCTGAAATTACACGATTTAATGGAAATCTCTTGGAACATTTTGAGGAAAAATTATTTTCGGTAGAAGTTGCGACAGTTTTGCCGAATACTATGCTACACATATAGGTATAATATACATAAATTGTCCTTTTTTGAGTAAAGCAAGTTAAGATAAATGCTTACGTAAAATGGCTTCTTACTGTTTCATTAAGTAAGCATGATCAGTTTATTTTGATGTGTTCTAACATTCATCATATATTTACCCTTATTAGTATGGTTCGCCTACACTAACCAATCAAGATATTTCATAGATCTCTTTAGTTTCTTCCTTACAATCACAAAAAGGAAAAAAAATGACTTATTTAATAAGAATGAACAAATTCATTGTACCACAATTCATTATTAATCACACTCTAGGTTTTAAACGTTATACTGTTTAGTCTTCTGACTAGGTCCTACTCCCTATAGTTTAATTAGTGAGATTTCATGCCAAATAATCTCTACTTCAATTCAGGTCAAGCATTAAACCTTATCTATGTAATGATTATTTCCAGATCCTCAACTACACTATCAATAATCTATCCAATTTACCAATTTTTATATTCATGCAAATTCAAACAGTGATATAAATCAACTCTGAAAACCGATTTCTTGTTAGAAACAATATTGAATGTGTAATCGCTTCTTAAATTTATATATATATATATATATATATATATATATATATATATATATATATATATATATATATATATATATATATATATATATATATATATATATATATATATATATATATATATATAATGAAATTTATAGATCTGAAGCATGTTACCACATATAATGTGAATTTTGCCAACATTCGGAAGTGCAATATTGTTATGAAGATTCACATGCTTATAACCATTTCCTCTGAGAAATGTTCTTTATTTGCTACTCACATTGCACAAAAAGCTTGTTTTCACATAGTTTGTCCAATAAATATGCATGTTAAGCTTCTGTTTCTTATTATAAATATCTTCTTAAAAGATAAACAGTCAACCTTGTTTTGATTGTAGAGGTTCTCAGGGTTTTAGGTGGTTCACCAAATTTATGCGATAGCGATGGATGACGTGCTTTAGCTTCACGTTTATCATTCACTGTTTTTGGCTTGCTATTCAACCATCCCCCTATTCATTAAAATTATCTCCCTACTATTTCATTTTGTTTCCGAAATCCTATATGACTATGTAGAGGCAATACTGAAACAACATGGAGAATATAAGGTGTGAAGTGACAAGCTGTCTGATGATATGCGATAGATGAAATAGCACAAAGAGGTTCATGCTGTTTGACGAATCGTTCATAGTCGATTTCACGCTTTGGTATTACTTTTTATTTCTCTATACTGCTGTCAAATCTATTGATCTGAACCGATTTTATGTATGCCATGAGACTAAAAGTACTGCGTTAATGAGTTGTAAGGGCTACTAATTACCTCAGACAGCTATGAGTATTAAATAGAATAATACTTAAAACAATGGTCAAACATTTGATTTTAATGAACAGACACGTCCAAGGAAACTAGTGTTTGAATGAAGCAGCACAACATAATAGCATATTTTGAGAGGTATTTCAGATGGCTTGCGGTTGTAAATGAACCATTCAATACTGAATAGAAAAATTAGCATATATGAACTTAATTATTTGTTATCTACCAAGACAGTATTTTATTGAGATAATGTAGGACTATGTGTACCAAATAACACTTTTAAGAAAAACAATATTTGCAGAATACGATGGATTTATTGTATTTGATCATTTTTTCTTCAGTCGGTTGTAAATTTATTAAATTAGGTTCATTCGATAAATTGACGTGAGATATTCGCAGGAATAAGTTCTCCTCATAGATCAAGAAATTTTTTGATCCGACCAAATTGCCGTAAAAATTAAGGTTTTGAAGGGTATGGTGGTCGGTATTCAATATAATCCTTAAACTTCGTATACTGTTCGTCCTGATAACCGTCGCTAGATAACGCCCCAATGGTGTAATAATCAGAAAGCGAATAAGAAGTGTTGATTAAATTTATTATTGCACCACGCATAGATTCATCAAAATTACAGGTACGCTAAGCAAGCATGAAAGAATAGTGCCGAAAATCAAGCGAGCAACCGAGTGAGCGTGCAAGTCAAGTGAGCGAGCGAGTGTGAACAGGATTAAGATGTACATATTATATTTACATAGTGAAATGAATGAATCATCGAATCAATTGAGCGACTAACAGTTCGGCTGGCAGAATGAATGAATATATGCGTAGGCAGAAATCAATGCTCAAGCATACATATTCATACAAGTGTAACAATAATAAAGGTACAATGGTATAGATAAGTTGTCATTGTACGAGTGTCGCTGTCCATTAAATAAGTTAACAAAAGGGCTTAACATGTTGAATGTGAACAAACTCAGTTGCACGTGAGCTGCCATAAAGGTGTTTCCGTAAATCACTGAAGTGATAGTCACAAAATATTGTAACATAATATTATGGTAAATTTATTCACAAGATGGATGTGAAGAGAGAAGTAAAGGAACAACGAAAAACAACGGGTATTTTTTTAGGACATCTCAAGTGATTCGAACTATGTAATGTACTAACATTTAGTGTTGTGCCTGTTTTATTCCATGAATCATTAGCTTTGTCTAGCGTATAAGTTAGTGTCATGTTTTTTTTTCTATTCAAAAATTTCAGTAATATAAACGTAACCTCAGTTTCCCATTATTACTTTCTCTGCAATCTCCTAGTTTGTATATGATTGTAGTTTTCATATTTCTTGTGAGTTGTGGCCTTACTGGTCATATAATTATGCACGTGCCTTTTGAGTTAATTTAAATCAGGAACAAATCGTATAACAGTCCCAGCTAGATCATCTCTCTTTGCTTAAAAACTAATCAGTTCAACGGCAAAGTAGTTTCCTACTTTCTGACTTTAAAGCCACTCAGTCCCAAATCAAACTCACATGTTGGGGATCTCAGGGTTGTGCTAACGCAAACTATAACGTCAGGGCTGTAATGTAGATAAAGACAAACCTTGCTCTCCTTGTATATTTAACACAGACTAGCGGACAAGTAAATCTAGAAGGTAACAAATATAAGAAAGCAAAATAGAAAACTGAGTTGAAATCATTGAACAGAAGTCATAATTCTATATAAAAAGAGAATTCACCTCCTAATAAGGTTCTTTTTAAATTATCTAGACAAATATTGGTTGGTTCCAGACTCTTGCTGAGCACAGAGATCACAGAATTTCAATAAAGTTGTACAGCTTGTTGACTGCATCGAATACTGATATTGTATCTACCATGTGTTCCATGTCCAACAGGTGGAGCGAGCTTGAACTATAAAGACTGGCATATCCTCTGACAGGTTCTTTGGAATATGCTCATAAAAACTCGTAGATGTCAGGCTTCATGTACATTCAATGCATTTGTTTTCCACGTATATGTTAATGAATAAATATAATAGGTGATATCAGGCAGGCACTTGTCTACGTTGGTTTGTTTTACTGCGTTTCTTGTTATGCAAACTGTTACTAATTTTTATGCAGAATATTTTCTGTTCGGAGATGCTTTAATTCTTTAGTCAATCTTATTTGTAATTGAATCACTATTGAAAATCAGTTGGATGAACATACGTTCCTTATCAGCTAATTTCCTTGAATGGTGGGCACTACCATTTCTGTCTATCAATGAACTATAGTAATCACCATGTTTGAGACAGGTCCATTTCTACACATTCTTTTTAGTTTGTCTATCGAACATAAAGTTTTGGCTCTAACGAAAAGCGATTTCACTAACATATTCCTAAAATCATTTTACGCTAACATTTTGAATAAATTCAACTTATTGAACTGTATGTAGCTTAAGACAAATCGGTGAAATGCAATGAATTCATTGTATCCTGTGTTGTTATTTTTCGTTTATTTACATTTATATGTGAACCAACTGCATGAAATAACACATTTCTTTCAGATGACAACTTATAGTGTTCAAACAGCACACAGTTATTAACGACAATGTAATTTTTCAGGTAAAACTTTCGCAAATCTGTAAAGTTCATTTCATAACACCTTTGACTTAGTTACAACATCGAAAAGAACCCTTCAAAACCAGAACCATACTAACATACCACCAACTCGCATCTATTTCAACAATTCACAGGTAGCACAATTAGATAAATGGAAAACAATTAATATACGAATCACAGTTTCAACAAAATAATAATAATAATCAAAATGGATAGGAATAAGAGTGAGATGCTCAATATATAGGTGTATTATTAATAGGGTCAATAATAGTGTAAAAATACAAAGTTTAAAGACAAGGACAGATCAAAATCTGTCATTCAAGAGTTCATTGACTCCTTTTTTTCTTCTACTGTAAAATAATTGTTTTAGGGGGGAGAAAGAGAGAAAAAAATCGACAACAAAATTTGTACAAAGAATAATTCACTTTTCCATTAAATATAAATGGGAAGTAATAATAAATTTGAATAATTCATTGAGAAGTAAATAATTCATGTTAACAGTAATGAGAAAGAAAATCAACGTGTAATCTAATGGAAAATAAGTATACATTGCCACATTAATCAAGAAACATCTAAATGATCATGATATTAATGAGTAGTACAATGTGTTAGCTCATACAGTAAAAGATAACAACAAGCAGTAACCAATAATAGGACAATCGACAATGGGAATAAGTCAAGATAAGGTGACAAATTTTGTAAGAATAAAAAAAAGAAGAGAAATATTACAGGGTTATTCAACCCTGTAATATTTCTCTTCTTTTTTTGTCTGTTATCCTTGGCTGAGAACAACTTTTTTTCGATATACACAGAGGCATTTAATGGATGGTGGGAAATAAACGTCAAATAAACTTTATGAAAATAAAGATGGTTGGAAAAACCTAGGCATAATGTTGAAGAGTGTGTATGATGTGTGTGTGTGTTTGTGTATGTTGGTTAGATTCGCCAGTTTCGTTTACTCTAACAATATTCGAAAAGAGTAAATAACAGAATTTCTGTGTTTTATTTAACAAAATGGGCACTCAAAAAATAATAATAATAAAACGCTAAAAACACACTAACAACTGAAATTATCGTTTTTGAGAATTCATTGTACATAAAACTTTGAATGACAAAAATAAACCGAAGATGATAATGAACTAGTCAAAATACACGATTAAAATCATTTAGCCAATTATTCAGCAAAATTAAAATAACAACTATGACGACAACAACATTTGAATCTGAAATATTGCAGTGTAGACAAATCTTTCTTGATGCGTGTGTGTGTGTGTAGAGGGGGGTTGTGTTGATCCATTTACATTATCGATTCATTCACTCATCATGACATGCTGACTTCATGGAATTCGGTGATTGATTACCACCAGTAACGTTTGTGCCTAAAAGAAAATAACGATATCAAAAAATACACAACAGATAATTGAAGCTCAGTAATGTGCAATACAAAATTATAACACATAAAAATTCTCTTTCCATTAGTTTTAAAATTTAGATTTAAGTCAAGTGTTAAACACAAATGATGCTTTCTCTAGTACGTTTATTATAACCAATAAATGCATAGATAGATATATAACTGAATAACAATGATCATATATTTAATGATAGTCATGTAATGAAAAACTAACTGTTCAAATCTTGGAAATACATATAAGAGTTTGCATTCAGTTGGTTAGTCAGCTACAACGTAGGACCAGGCACATATATGTATCGGTTCAAGTTGCCACACCTCATAAGCACAAGAAGATGAACACCAAATTCATAGTAGTGGTCACTTCAATGGTGGTAATATATAAAAGAAAGATTGTATATAAGGATATATTACAGGAAGAAAGAATTAGTTCGTAGAAAGAAAGATATGAAGCGATTTTAATCTCATAGTTTAAGGGGAGACAAAGAGTGTATAACACCTATGCCATTGTGATCGATTCTGAGCCATGTCAAACACCGTCTACAACCATTGGTTACGATAGTCACGCCGACCCCAATCAAGTAGTCTGCATCTACCAACATGGCTAAGACTAGAAGTTAGTGACTTCAAACACTGATGTCACGTTTTGGTTTGGCCGCCCTTAACTTTCTTTCAACCGTCTCCAACACTAGTCAGCATTGAGCGTCGTGTTAATCGGTGTTCAGGCATACGTAAAACGCGACTTGACTTTTTAAATGAAATTGGAATTTTAAAAAGTATTAAAATTGAAATATTACGTCAAACTCTGCTCTGTAACAACTGGATGATACAACTTTATTGTTCTCTTATCGCATACTCCAAAAGTACAATAATAGCTACAAAAAGTATATATTTAGAGAAGACTGAAAACGAACAAACTAGCACAAGACATCAGTTCAGAAAGACAATGATTGTCGGTACCACTAATTTCTGGTTACGGTTTGAGAGAAAAGAATGTAATTTATGGTTGTGGATCTCAAGTAATACAGCTCAAACTCGATAACGGTAGAGAAGATGCATTCAATCGTTACCTTTCGTTTAATACTATATTGATACGAAATATGGAAATTTCGATCTATATAGATTCATAGCATGTTCTATGCTGTGTGTGTACCAACGTAGTCATTCATAAGCATAGTCAATCATTTGAGTTGATGAATATTTATCACCTGGAAATTTCTGTCAAATATTGGAAATTATTTAACAAAAATATGATCAGATTTTATAAATAATTAATAACATAAAATAGTGCGATAACCTTGTACACATATGCACACATACAATTGGAAACTCACTTTCATCTTTTATACCACCAGCAACAACTGATGCGAATGTATTGACTTTACCAGTTGTAACAACGCCTGGATTACTGCCACTGGATAAATTGACAGTTGTAGCAACAGACGCTGGTAATGCATAAACACCTGGTTGTTGAGGCCCGCCAGTTCGAATACAATTGACATTTTTAGATGTATTACCATCTCCGGTAGAAATATTAACATTACTATTAGTAATATTAGATGTTGGAAGAGAGTTTGAATCGTACGGTGAATTAGGATTCATTGCTACAGATGATATACTAGTTGGTTGATTATTTGTTGAAAGTGGAGATAGTAATCTAGAATAATGGAAGGATATAAATAACAAAAATTAACTGGTGACTAATCCTTTCCTATCCAAACTGACAAAGTAACCGACAGAATCCTATTAGAACTGATAACTAAGCAAGCATAACACTGGTTACTACTCAGTGATCAATCAATGTAAATATGTCAAAACCACAGGAGGTTAGACAGCCTGAATAGATGAGTGGTAACGTTTTAAACTATGAAGCTAGGTGACGTAGGTTAAAATCCCACAGAGAACTTCAGTTCCCCTGACGGTCGGATTTACACAGTATTAATAAATGTCAACTAGTACGAGACCTAGATCCATGGTATCCTGACGACCATCTTCAACGGCTCAACATCATAATAACTTGGTGTATTTACACACCAATTAGATGTTTATGTACTTCGCTTAGAACCGCGCTGATTATCTGAAGGCTGTTGAAACTATTCAGCTGTTCAAGCAAATGTAAATAGGTGACATGCAATTCGAGCCTATGGCTAAAGATTAAGTGTTTCAATCAAAAGGTTACTTCTTCGATAATATAATAGACCGGGAAGTAGCAAGCGGATATTTCTCTAAATTGAAAAAGACTGAATTAATCGGACATAAAATCAAGTTAAACTGATTCTCATTACTGAACAATTTTATACTATATCCATATGTGCAAAGAGTAGACAGTGTTTCGTATGAATTCACAGAATTTCATTTCAATAGATCTTTTTTTATTCCATTTCATATGGAGTTGGATGGAACAAATACCAGTTGATTAATTAATCGGTTAGTCTAGTACAGATCAGTATCAGCCAGTCATTAGTAGATCGTTTATTTCAAAATTAATAGATTTATCGAGCTGAATTTCAACCCACTGTTAAACTTATCGAAATTCGCCAGCACTCTTGACAATATCAACCTTCTCAATGTAGATTTATTCTAAATACATAAAGCAACAACCTAATCTGAACACATTGACACAACCAGGCACAACAAATGTTTAAATCTATGAGTAAGAACTTTAAAAAATGCTCCAGAAGATTTAGTCATCATTTAACAAAATGCATAGCAAAACCGTACATATTTAAAAATAAATATATTTCAGAAGAAAGAACCAACTATCCTAATGGATTATCGCTTTTAGTTTCCTCTTTTTTGGATGCAAAAGAATTCAACCTGTTTTAATGATTAAACAGAAAGTAAGTCAACAACTAAACGCTATCATTTTTAATCCATCTCTTTTCAGACTACTTTCATAAAGCTATAGAAATTTTGTTGATGAATGTGTCTATTCCATTGTAGTCATGTAGTTGATTAATTAATGAACTTCAGTGTTACCTCATTTGTGACAGATAAAGTTTATGTGTGACTGCATCTACTTGAAACAGAGTAACAAACAACTTAAGGTAACTTTAAAATGGCTAACAGCAATTTGGACGAACAGCTATAGTTTAATGATAAGAAACCATTTTAGTTCTAACTATTTAGTGGTAGTTTCAGAATTCGATTAACCTATTTTTTCTTTTTGAACGGCTGGTTAGTATTATTACTCTTAACACGAAAAATGAATAGTTTAAAGGTGCATCTATCTGTGAATCTGTATGTTAAGTTATATACTTGATGTAATTTTAAATAAAGTTAGTGAAGAAAGAAATGTCTCAAGTATCAGCATCATCATCGTCGATATGATTAGAAATTTACCTTTGAGTTCTTATTAAAACACCTTCACCACCATTGACTGGATCAATAGAGAAAATATGCACAAGACCGTCTAGGCCAGCGACAATTAATCGTGGTTGATTCTGATAGCTACAAATGTGTTTTTAATGAAACAACATAATTAATAACAATGAAATATGAGAAACATGCAGTTAAAAAGAAAGTACGCATACAGAAACCATTATGATCAAGTGCAAAGAGTCATTATTAAGTAATTTTAGATAGACACATGTATGAAGATTATTGATGTGTAATTGATCAACTCATATTCATTGTATGGTTCAAATAATATTTATTTAATAATAAATCACAAGCGAACTGATCAAATGTTTAATACTCTACAGAGAAAATAGTTTAGTATATATATATATATATATATATATATATATATATATATATATATATATATATATATATATATATATTCGCGCGCATATAGCATGCACTTACAAGCCCTATCCTCTAGCTCACACTTGTTGTGAAGCTTTTGTATCAATATAGGATGGACGATCAATCGGAATCTAGAAAACAACTTCAATAGATTCAATAATTATGCAAAATTCGTTTACCCATTTTAATATTAATGTTTGTTTCCCATACAGTATTAAAGGTGTTTTCTGATAGGCTGAAACTTGCCTCAGTTGTTTTTAGTTCGTCCTTATACCATACTCTTCTTGTGGCACACTGAACTGACTCCAGTTTGATCGAATGATAGTGCTAAAGAAATATAGATGGCGTCAACCGTCGTATATATTTATCAGCTTAATTCGCGTCAGAGAAGAACGGAATAATTCGAATATGAGAATGAATTTCGGATACGCATGTTTCATGCATTCGTTAATCCAGACAGACAACCAGAGAAACGAGTGGAAAAAGCAGGCCGGAGAAGGAAAGTGTGCCAACTTACTTTTGATCAAGCGTGACTCAATATTTATAGCCAAACAAAAGATAAGCTAAAGACATGTGATGAGTAGGGTAAGCAATACATACACAAAATTCAAGGTTATGAGCTAATAATTGAGAAGGTCAATATATGGCTCGAGATGAATAAATAAGTTGGTCTGTCCGAAAGCTAGAATAACCCATGTGGACTTGACATAGCAACAAACACTACATAATTATCCAACTTGCCATATTCGTGTTCTTAATATTGGTGAGTGATTTCTGTGGCCAACATCAGCATGTGATGAGAAAGCATCTTCAAATTATCCATATTAATATTATACATGGTAAACACCAAATAACCATGTAAATTATATGCGCCAACCCCAACTGGATGTAGCTAAGTTCGACTGTCGGGTTCAAAGTAGGGAAAAACAAACATGGTCGTAAATATTAAACCGAAACTATGTTTCTTCAAGTTACTCCTGTTGGTTACTAATGTTCAATCATAGATTATTTTGAACCAGTATTCAAGCACGACGGGACCACTGTGTGAGTAACGGTCAGATTAGATGTAGGGTAATACCTAGATTGGTTGCTTACAATCTGAATCTTAATCGCCTGAGATGATAGAAAATGTGTTATGCATACACACCATGCGCCGCCTACCTCGATACAGACTCCTGGTTGGCATAGAAGCAGGTTAAAACGCTAAGGATAGCTAAACTAAGACGTAACATTAGTTCATTAGGTCGAGGTCAGTCAATCTGAGCCATGTCAGGAGTTGCAGATCTTCTTATTGAATAGTAGATATATTCATTTCTTATTATACAGGACCCAGTATTTATCACATTTATCACTCTAAGTAAAAGATAAACATAATGAATAGAAATGAAGATTTAGAAAAGCCCAAAATATTGATCTGTTATCTCATACTTAACATTTCATATTAACATATTTCAACCGTTTATCGGATGACTGGAAAACAAAGGAAAATCTAGCAAACAGTCAATAACCATCAAAGGTAACAATTTATGGAATAAGTCAAAATATATTTATAACTTACTAAACAAGAGCAGCCACTTTCCTTTGCCCAGGTGACAACTGCATTAAACTACCTTGAGGAATTGAAGTTGTCGAACCAACATAATTAAGATTAACCAACTCTCCGGTTGGAGTCATGGTTACAGGACTACCACTGCCTGGTGGACGAAATGGGCTATTAACTGATGCACATGGTATTCGAGCATATGCAAACGCACGATCCTGAGCAAATATTTCGGAAACTTGATGTGGTAGATAAGCAGAATATGTTTTTAGAGTACTTCCCATCCATCCCATTAAACCTTGACTCCAACTGGCCATAGTAGCTGCCGCTGCACCAGTTGTAGTATTAGTATTATCTAAACCAGCAGTATTTATATCTATACATCCCGGGTAATTTGTGCCAATATCATCAGATGAAGGCGGATCACAATCATCTATAATACATCCAGCAACTTGACTAGCTCCAGAACTAGAAGACGTAGTACGTTGTCTAGTATAGTGATCAGTTTGAACTTCAGGTGTCTTTTCAGAACTACAAAACCAAAGGAAGACGTAGTTGCATCAGTCTATAAAAATTCTTCAGGGGTTCATTGCGGTCAGTTACTCAATTTGAAAAAAGTGCAAAACGACATAAATAAGTAAGAAGTCAGGATGCGACTTCTTCTGATTAAAATTGGAACAAGGTCAGGAATGACAGATTTACATTACTTCACAACCATACAGTGAAAGAATAAGTTCAATGAAGGTCTGAGAAACAACACGTAATAATGAAATGTAAATTATGGAATGTAACTGAGCGTTGGCAATGATTACCAGAAATAAAACAATATCCCTGATGACAGATACTAGTTACCAACAGCAAAATCACTAAAACAGCGTAGACGAATAATAAATAATTATCCTGAGGCTTTTTCTACCCTATTTCAACTGTAAGCAGCATTCATGCACTCTTTAAGTGAGCGTGTATACTAAGCGAACTGAAAAATACCGCCAATACATACCTGTTAAGATGGAATGTTTATGGAAATCATTCAATCTGAAGTAGAAGGACTACCTACAACATGAATCTTCAAGTATCACGGAGACCAAAATATCGTGCCTATCTATATTTTATTTTGCAGTTTAGAGTTGTGGGGATGGTTGAATTTTATTTAAATCATGAGTCGATCAATGTCAGACCATCATTGAAAACCTGGAAGCACTGGACCGCCGTTTCGTCCTGGTATGGGAATTCCCGGTAGTGCACATTCACGACCCCGCGCATGGGACTCGGACCCAGAACCTTCGTTTTCGCGCGTGGACGCTTAACCTCTAGACCGCTGAGCCGGCATCCAACGGTGTTAATGTCCAACTTCAACCAATCAACGATGTCGCGCAACTATCTTCCATCGGCTTTTACTAAGAATATAAAGACATCTTAGTTTTTAATTTGCTGAAAAAATGATTGGTAGGTTTTCAACATTAGTGAGAGCTGGGTGTAGGACGATAATCAAGGCACTAGAGTCAATAATCTAGGTGGGTTATGGAAGCACCTAAGATTCTAGTCTAACTTTACATTATACATATATCATCTGTGAAGTATGATACAAGCTAACTTGGTTCAGTTACATGGTCTCCTCAGAATTTATATAATGTGTACGATTTAAAAATGTGTGCAATTTAAATTAGCTATGCATCATTTCTTTGCATTCAAATATATATTTACAAGACCATGACTTATTTTCGGATATGAGCATACGATAATTACTTTTTTGAGGAAGAGAACACTATCTGAAGTCATTTGGAGTTTAAACACTACAGCTTAAGCATGTAAAATAACAATCCTGGTGTTTTACATTCTAGGAGGCCATTCGTAATCACCAGTATAAGTATTTCGAGTTGGGTGGCTCTAATTAGGGTGGATAAAACATCCTTTTGAGTTATTCTGCTAAAATTATTTAACAAACCCATAATTACGAATAAGAGCGACATTGATTACAATGACACAATGACAGAAATCAGTTGTGAATTAACATAAACTCAGTATGATTTACGAATACAAATGTGATGTCTTCTTTGAGGCGTTGTGTTAGCTGAGATAAAATGTGCGAAACTGGGTGGTCAAAATAAATCAAGGTATTGGACTGCTGATCTGAGTATGGTTCAATACATTAACGTTTTAAGGAATATTCTGTGTTCTGCATGCCTATCCGTTCATTAATGTCTTATCATTTAATAATATGTAGATCACCATAAAAAGTATGACAGTTAATTGTATGTAGATAGTAGGTACAATAACCGGACTAGCACTATGTAAAGAATGCGCAAGATATCGCACAATATTAAGGGTGTTAAATTACAAGTTACTACTACTGATAATAATTACTAGTGACATGTATATAAACCAATAAGAGATACTACTACACTACACTTGCATATCCTTTGATGAAAAATAAACAAACAACGAATTCACATTTATGCATATGATATGCAATAAAAATGCTTTTGATATATGTTATAAGTGCAGAGCGGAGTGAAAAGCACAGTGGATGATTTAAATCACTTACGAATGACTTTCCAATTTGAATATATGCACTGTTTCTGTATGACTAGCGGCAACAAGATATTGACTATTCATACTGAATGATAGAGAGCAGATAGATACACAGCTGAAAGGGAGAAATAACAGTTGAAATACATTTTGTTTTTTTCAACACTTAAATATCTTCAGGATATTTTCAAGAATGTAATTGAGTCAATCAAATCTTCAGAAGCCAGGAAAGTGTTGCAAATGCTCCAATCAACCAGCATCCTTTATAGAGATTCAAGAGAATTCTGAAAGAAACGATGCATAATGTTTCCATTATCCTGATCCGATAATTACCAGTTTTATTACCGATTTAAACGTGATTTCCAGAAGCTTTCAGAAGCTTAAGATCCGATACAAGAACTAGGCTTGGTAAAAAGGCTTTTTTACACTTAACGCATTTCGCCTTGTGTTTGGGATTGAAATGCAGAAGATTCCGGAGGTAAAGTCAAGTAATAAGTGTTCAAGTACAAGACCATATTGAATTGATTTATACAGAGAAAACTCTGTTGATGAAATTAGAATAATTGAAAAATTCACTCATATACCACAAATATTGAATTTGCAATGTAAATAAATGCATGTGATCCACAGTATTCAACTACATAGGTATCCTTAATTTACTCGAGTACCTAAGCTTATAGACAATACAATTAAAACAAATGAAGGTTGTCTTTAATCTTCACTCATCAGTCGAAGGAATAAATCAGAGTTCAATAAAAGATATTAAGAATTATATGGACATTTATATAGGGGTTAATAAAAAGGATTCTGAAGGACAGTGAATAAATGAGCAAATAGTGGAAATTCGTGATTTGCTAAAAAAAAGTATTAGATTAAATCGAAGTTAGGATCCTTTTCTAAGACAGAATGTTAAGTGTACACATTGCTCTAGAACAGAATCTGTTCAAAGTATAAACGAAGGAAAAAAGTTTAGAAAAAAAACCCACCAAGTAATAAATTACCCGTGATAAGAAAAATGAAGGTTAAAGCGGAAAGGGTGAGTACATAATACCAAGGAGTCTCATACTAGAATGAAGTAGCTGTCCAGACCTCTTTGGCTTTTAATAATACTCCAACTGAGATTAGTTTATAGCGAATACTATCTACAAATCAAACCAATCACCACGAAACTTCTTCAAAGAAATCATTTTTGACTGGCAATAAACTGAGCTTTGTGAAGAGATTTATAACGTTTGAAGTTGCTTACCGTAAAAGATTAACGTTAATTAGAAAACGATTAAACACTTGGCAACACTAAATAGCTATTTCCTTTTGATATGAGACCCCTTAACAGCAGGTATCAATGGCCTCCTCCCCATATGAGAGTGATACTGGAACTCCCAGGTTTTGTGTGTTGTGAACAATATCATCTTCCGTTAGTCAAACGGAATCCAAAATTAATGAATATTTTACTTACCGAGTAAGTCCACGACGAAATTCAATCACTTTTTCTCCTTGTGGAATAGAAAACACTCGTATTACAGTGCCTTTTTCTGATGCGGTCGCTAATAAATTAGCTCTCGCATTAAATGTAAGACATGCTAGTAGACCATCATGGGCAGCGATAGATGTAACATTCTAAAGTGCAAAAAAGATTCAAAGTAAACAAGAGAATTGAGTCATTTAGAAATAACAAAAAAGACTATCTGCGAATTTGTACTTTGAACCAGTCTCCATAATGCGTACAATATTAAGTAATCACTGTATGCCACCTAGTGACTAATTCGGAGATAGATCCTTGAAATTCAAGTGAGAACACCTGTGACTAGTGGAGTTTGATTACGTCATCACGAGTGATACAGATATCATCCGTAATATTGGACGAGGAAGGATTTATAGCACAGAGTCACGTAAGCTGGGAATGTGAACAACTAGTAGCTCAACTTCCAAAGACCATTAGTTCGACTCCATGAATAAAACCACAGAAAAAGCTGGAAAAAAATATCTGAGAAAAGTATATGTTGGTTAGATTGATTGTCACCAGGAGATAAGGATTAGCGGTAAGGTTTCAGAACATACTCTTGTGCATTGATGAATGAAACACTTTAAAAAACAGTTGAATTGATCCTGAGTCACAACCATCCAGTTCACACTCGTTTATTTATAACTTGAATGGGACATAGAATCTAGGTCTCTATTATATCATGGGTAATGATGGAAAATTCAAACTATTGGATTTTGAAATGAAAGCTTATGTAGAGCGTTTTCACTCCGCAAAGTGAGAGAGATATCAAACGATTTTTAAGTACAATAAAACTATTATTTATTTATCAACAAACTGAAATGACATTAATTATTGATCAACTTAAGCTGTATTGATTCCATAGTCTGTCCAGTGGCAAACAACCAATTAATTTCCATAGGCAAGAAACAGTTTGAAGAGATCAAATGACTGACATTACCATGAAATCCACGTGAATCATATGACCAAGAAAATAATACATGAGTTGATATATATATTTGGCACCTATGTCAACTAACAAAGAGTATCAAAGTAGGTGGTGGTTACGAAAGTGGATATTTGACCAAGATCATGTTATTGAGTTAAGGGAATGAACAAATGAATCACATTTAATCGTGTTCAAAAATTTGGGCAGCGATAATCTTTTCAATGCAAATACACGTATTTAGTTTATGTTGATTCACTACTCATCTGCGATCAACGTACAGAAGGATCCAAATGATTATTGTGCTTATTTACCAGTCGAATGGATAATACAGAGCGATCAAAATCACAACAGGATATTTTTACTAATTGCAGGATATTCTATCTATAATAGATGTGGTCAATATAATTTTTTGGACAATTACAAAACTTGTCACCACTAGTATTTTGATGCCAAAATTTTAAATAATTTGTGAATATTAAAATAATAACACATTCAAACATGGCATGTCACCTCCTCAACACATCTATGTCGATTGAGAGGAGAGTGAATTTGTATCAAACAAGTTTAAACATATTACTGAAACCGTATACAACAAAACACAATTTCGGAAATAACAGTTACCTAATCATACGGATAAAATGTATTTCTCTTCAGTATGAATCAATAAGACTCGTGATTAGACAAGTCAACAAATAATAAGAAACAGTATGCTCTATATTATAGGTCAATAACTTAAAGAGTTTGCAAAATTTTTAGTTATATGTTCGACGTGTTTTGGTCTCTGAGCTTGATGTTTTCGTTGTGAAGCCTTCATTGTCCTGCTGAAAACATTATCACCATATAATTTACTAAAGACGAGTTAGACATAAGAAGGGTTCATTACATACTAATTATACATAAAATTGCTTCATTTCAGCTTCAACTTCACCCGTTGTTGTTGCAACACACATGATCAAAGCAAAAAAAGCATTACACAACTATCATTCACATCGTTCGGTAAAATATTTATATTGCTACATAAATACAATGTATTTTTCTTGTGCAGTAAATAACTTTCATTCAGCGAAAGAAAAGCATATACCTAATAACTCATCTGTTTACTTATTTCATGTTATCAATTTCTTATCGAAATGGTAAATATATATCTCATGTATTTAGTTAAGAGAAAAATTAACTAATTAGTCAACAACTTCACAAGGTACCTGAATATGAGCCACATATTAGGTGTGAGGAGTAATGATTGACTTAATCAAAGTAGGTGGGGCGGAATTCGAACCTCAGACTTAGCAATTGGAAGATGGATATCTTAACCACTAAGCCATTATTTATTTTGATAATATTTCGGTCGACTAGGCGTAAATATTTACTCCATTCCATTAATAAAACTAATCAAAATATCGACTATCTTTAGGACATACAGTATAACTCTTTCATATTTTAATGAATGTGAAAGTATAAAGTAGACGCTAGGGCAATTTTTAAGTCAATGTTAATTTGATTGTTAGGATATAAAGGACAGATGATCGTGTGAATCGTTATTCCATAAACAATACGGGCAGTTCATAGTTACTTTGTAAAAAAGGTTCCCACTAATCAGGCTTTAGAAATATGTAATTAGTCTTGATTTGAACATCGCGTCGCATCACGAATAGTTGCAAGTTCGAAGTGTAAACCATCAAATGTCAATTCAGTAGTTTAAAAGTAACATGCTCGCTGAGAAAATTAAGTTCTATCCCTGGGTAATTGCAGATGTGGGCAATGCTGAGGAGTCTCAAACTAGAAAAAAACAATCATCAGGCGTTCCCTGGTTTCCTAATGGGTTCCTAGATAATAAAAGCTATCTCTAAGGCTGAGTTAAGTGTATGACCGAAAAATGGGCGATTTGATAATCCTCGGAGTTTAAAATAAAAATATTAATAACTCCAACATACTTGAAAACTTAATGCATCGAAAATGAAAACAGTTCCAACACGATGAGAGCCAGGATAGGCTAAATAGCAATTGCTTTCATTGGCCGATAAAGCAATAACACCATTTCGGTTAGGTGGAGTTTCTTCAACTTTGTGCAATAATTGCATATCACGCATATTATGAATAAATATTCCATCTTCTACACAAACTACTAAACGCTGTGAAAGTATAAGATGAGAAAATGGAGACAAGAATATATTAACTAATGACCAGTAGACAAAGCATATAAATACATACTCTTTTCAAATTCAGTGTTTAGTATATTCTATTTGTACAAATATCTTTGTTTTATTAAGTCATCACATTCAATATTTCGAGTCATATGATTTGTGATTTAAAGATTTTAAGAAGTATAAAAAGCATAAACTTTAAGTAAAAACATGCTTTCACCTATTAGAGGGATTTGATATGTAGTAAATAAACCCTGAAAATAATGAGATACTAGTCATGTGATTCACTTAACTCGGACATCCTTCAACATAGCGTACTAATAGGTTGTTCTGCGATCCGATATACAACTCATTGGGTTTTTCAGCCAGTAACACTGACTTGGTTCTAATTACAGGCCTGTAGGTGTAACAAAATTGTTTTCGACATACAAGGTAAAACGTAACATGACGACACTTTTGAGATAATACGTTTTCGGAAAAAAATAAATAGAGTGGTGACTCTGTGGTAACTTACAGACTCAACATTCGGCCATTTTATAAAGAACACAGAAGTGATATATTTTGTCAATTATGGAATACAAGGGTCCGACCAAAAGATATTGTAACCACTGTGTATATATGAAGATCCTGAATTTGATTTCACGTAGGGCTATTGAGGTGAACTGATTAGTTGTCTATCACGGACGATTACGGCCGTGAAGTGCATATATATTGGTTATCGATGGCCTTTTCTAACTGGAAACAGTTAATGACGATGAGAACCACATTCAAACTGAAACATTATCAACTGAATTCATAATCTTACACAAATCGGCTATTCCTATCCAGTAAGACACATATGAGGAACTTAGTAACACTCACCTTAACAAAAAAACAAGTAATGGAAACAATTGTTTAATTTACCAAGCTACAATATACTAAGTGTTAATTATTTTAAAGCACAAAAGGTACATTTACATTTACAATTCAACTCATCTTTACAACATACCTGATGATTCATTTTAACAGCTAATATAGTCAAGGTATAACGATAGTGGCATATCAATGTGTTTATTCTGGAATGTGCAACTAGTAGCCTGCGCATATCGTTCTGTGAGACCAATGTAACTAAGCTTCGATTAAATAATCTTCCAACAATACACATAGGATCACCGGCTATTTGTGTAAATGAAGTTTTTTTTAGTAAGAAGCACAAATTACTAGAAGAAAATGTCTCAGTCACCTGATCACCAACAGTTGACAGGAGGCTGTATCCCGTTTTTGTCCCAACTTGAATAGATCTATGGTAAAAAAACACATATACACGTATATACATTGAAGTAAGTTTGATTGATAACAGCTATCACCTCTTGAGTGTAAATTAAGCAAGGTAGCCTTTCAAGTGGGCCACAGGTCCCATATCTTGTGATTATTCCATCGGTCCTAGTGGAATTCTCATTCTTTTCTAAGCTATCATTAAGTAATTTGTGACTAAGGATCATATGTCCCGTCATTTTACTACCAACTGACTTAAGTTTAAGGTCGAACGCAGAAGAAAAACCGGTGACTGATAAAGTTTAGCTGTTTAAGAAAATAGAGTAAAATTATACCGATAAACAAAAATACGTGAAATAAAAAGCAATTAATAGACGACGTGAGACCAAATAGATCCAACTATCGCTTATTTAGTATTAGATAAATCCAACTTTACAAAGTTTGTATGCTAGAGTCTGAGCGAAACGCATTATGTATGTTAACAATGCTACTCAAACATTTAGACTCCGATGGGTGTTGATAAAGTTATAGAATTATATTCTGGATGATATATATCGTGGTTTCGTTTGCAGCTTTAAGTAGACAATAGTTTCGATTTTCCGATATTTATTGAAATTAACCAGTATCCGGCTCAGTCTACTACTGGTAGTGAAAAAAATTACTTCAAATAATAGGATCATGTAATGTTAACTAGGAAGCGGTTTTGTGATGAGTCAAATATGATACAGTAGATGTAGAACTGGAAACATTGACTATTACACTTGTGCTGAGCTGTATAAAGTAAGGAAAGATAAAGATTGCCGAATTATGACGTCGAAACATGTTTGTTTTGTGACACTTATTATGTAAGTCAAAATAAATAAACCATTTCTATAACCAAATAGTCTCTAGAGGCTGATAAGCTAAACTTTTTTCTATGATAAAGAACAAAATCACAGCAAACGACGTATCACAGGTCACGGTATTCGCTTACTTTGGGTTTGTTAGCAAGACAGAAACCAACATTTATTGAAAATTGTAGTGCTATATTGTGTAAAACATGCATGTGATAAACATGCATTTGGTTTGGAAATGCTGGATGAATGCGTAAAACCCCCTCACTAGGCAATTTTTATTTTTTACGTTGATTACTTGATAAAAACGCTAGTATTATAAGGAGAGGAAGTTTGAAGTCCCTATGAAGATTTAAAATTAAGAACTTTTGATATGTGAAATAAGAGCTTTCTGGATAATATTACAAATGAGAAAGTGCTAAGAAAGCTATGAGTAATTGTTAAGCACAAAACTAAGTAGGAGCATTTATCTAGAAAATAACTACTTATCCATAGAGGGAATAATCTATTGTCACACTTGTTCTAAATAGTGAAGGTTTAAGTCGAGCAACTTACATCGAAATACGACTTGGTAACCAAGTAAAACCTCATATACTCAGCTTTACCTAGAATATTTCCTGTGAAAGCCAATGGTATCTTATGGTTACAAAATTGTTGTTATCATAGGAGATGACACCAGTATGTATCGACGTTATTTTCAGAAGTCCATGAAGATTTTGAACTTTCTATATAATGACTGAAAGTACAATACTAAAACTGTTTAAGCTAGACTAGATTTATGCCCCCAAATGCCCTGGTACGGCCGAGAGTGGGGAGAGTCCGCTCTCTCTCTCGAAATGCTCTCACATGTCCACGCGTATATAGCCTCTGACAGGGAAGTCTTACTGCCTTCTCGTGGCGGGGAGTTGCTTACAAAAATAAGAGGACGAAAAGCGAATGTCCGACGCTTTAACCGGATTCCAAACCAATGGTGCACATGGGCTCCAGTATCCCACAGGAACAAATGGCGTATGAACCAATTGTTGGTCACCGGCTTCCATGGGACTGCATCTCCTTACGATGCTCCACTGCCTTGTGGATCCGACCTTCAGGTCGAAGGCTCGGGGAGTGGCCCCCTAAGAAAACCATCTGCTTTGGTTTAGGCACCCGGGCAGTATCACAGCCCTCACACATATCGAATGAGATTTGTGTGGCGCATATGTATTTGGTGCCTCCTTGTACCAATATCTGTGTTAAAATAAAAAAAATAAGATTCATGAAGCGAATAACCGCCACATATTCGAATTATCGTTCTACCACATATATACCTGTATGCTGAACCGAAACGCGAAAACTACATGAATATTACATAGGATGATGTGGCTCTAAATAACCATGGGAATTTACGAAGTTGCGTCTCACCCATATATGAATTGATTGACACTTACTGAAACTTGTTAGTCAAGTCCAAGTTTATATACTCAGCTTTTAAATGCAGCTTTTTAAGGGCTAGCTCGTTAAAAAGGTATAAGGAATACACTATGAACGTGGAGCTAGATACCAGTTCTATGACTTCCTTTCCATAGGCCTTGAGGTTATTAAAAACACGATTGAAGTTTTTCGCCAGTTAAGTCAATAAGTACTTATTCATAAATTCTTAATCCTATCTCTTCAACTCTAATGTGTTTTTGAGGATTTTATAAATAAATCGAGGATGCATAAATTGATTTGTAACTACGTGAAAAAAACCGAGAGGAGATAAATGTATTGTATACGTACGTGTAATCTTGGTTAAAATCGATAAACAAGATTGGGGAATTATCATCATGACGGTTACAAGCAACATTCATAATCTATTGTGAATCAAGGAAGATGATCAGCTGACAGAAGAAGCCCGCCAAAAAATTTAAACCGTTAACATAAAGCACAAGGTCAACTTACTGGATAATTTAACAAGATAGAAATATCACTTAACCAGCTTCTATGTCCTTTCAGTATATTTTTACTCACACAACTGTTTAATATTCGTTACTATCAGTTATCCACATTATTTAAAGGTGAACCTTTCTTGTTTACTAAGTTATCTGTCTCCTATTCTTCCAAATCTTCTCACACATGCTGCTTTTAGCACTCCTTCAGAACATAATTTATCTTCAGGTTAGAAGCGAATTTATACATACTTGCGTTTCTTATAAAACTACAAAAGTAAGCTTCAGGACTAAGAATGCACCTGAAGATGCCACAGGTATTCGGGGTTTGACAACGCCTTGAGCAGTAACACCTAATGTGAGTCGTACCCATCAAGTGAGATCAAAAGACGGAAGCGAGGAGGTTCGAAGATATATTTTATAGGCTATCAATATATCGAGGATTGTCTGATCTAATCTGGCTAGCGATTGCAGGGGCTGTTGCGCCTGGCGTTCCCACTCGTGATCTGGTGCGGATGCATGACCGAGTGCCTTCAGCTAGGTGAGTCCATTAAAACTAGTTTGGCCAGCAAACAATGTCGAAAACTTACAGAGCTATTTATTTTGGGGATTTATTTACCGCTACACACTTATAAACTGCTTTCCCGTAGATAAGGTATGAAATAAGGCAGGAATTTTCCCATAATTATGTTACACTATTTGACGGTCACATCACAACAAATCTACAAGATTTTGTGTGAAGTTCACATCACTGTCCACAGGGACTCGTTGCATCATGACAATCAGCAATATGATGTTCGGCACTTAGGAAGGACATACTCCGGCTGCGAATAGAGCGATACATTTAATGTGGAATAGTTTGGGTTACGCTATGCCCATTAAGTGAATGGGTGTTTCCGCGTTCACAATTCTTGACCTTCTCTTAGCGTTACACGGTTGAAAATGAACCTTCTCAGTAATTATATGACCTAACACTCCTCTGGAACATCTGAGGCACTAATGATGACGCAGGACGACGTCGCTCGCTCTACATGTGTTATCGATGGCATATTTTGGGAGGACTAAAAATGCACTAGCTCCTGTCCGGAGATTTTGTCTTTCTCAGAACATATGACGTCACAACTCTCTATGTTAGTCGCTCCTCGAACTAAAGATATATTTTGTAGTTATCGGCATTCTGAAATCTGGCTTGTCTGAAGACACAAATTCATCTAGACTTTGATGATGTATTCGCTTTGGCTAACTAAATACGTAGAATAGTCTAACTCTCCGGTTAACATTCTTAGAAACGAGGAAAAGCCTGAAGCTAGACTACTTATTAGGATTTTGAAGGGGGAATAGAAGGTAGTAACTTTGGTTGTTTGTCTTACTGATTAGATAAGAACAAACCTACAATTGGTTCCCAGTCGTCTGCTATGATGGTTGTTCAGAGGTCCTCTTCTTTCAGTGATTGTGTGGACCACACATTTAGGTCGGGAGGCCACTTCAGTTTCAACAATCCCGTACTGAGGTTTTGTTTGTAGCGCTCAATGATCCAGGAATTCAGAATAAATTGCTGACCGATATTTCTGGTATTCTCATATACGTATATGCACAAAGTCAATGACGAATGTAGTACTTCAATGACAGATATAAGTGTGAAATTCAGTAACGTATATTTGGATCTTATTTACTGTCACAGGTAGGACAAAAACTACTATATGATTACTTAAAAAGTAAGGAACTAGGTTTTCCAAATGTCAGAAGCAACGTCATCCTCACAAAGAAAATATAATTGGAATGGTCCGAAGATTTTCAGGCACAAGCAGTCACTAAAATACAATGAAAAATATACATAATTACCTATTTGATGCAACACTTTTGCCTACAGTTTGGAAATTCAGCTTCCTTACATTACGAGGAGAAGCTAGCTCTATTTTCGCTTTCGAACTTGACGTGATCTCGTTAATCTCTCACCAACAATCAGAAATATCCACCTTTTCGTTACCCTACTAAAATATTTACTCGCTTCCAAATATACGAACTACGTCTTCACCTTGCTGGCAGACAACTGTAACAAATATGACCATAGTCATTCCAAGGCTGAATCATAGTGCTACAGGCATCGCTGTTTCTATCAACTGCTTTCTTCCTAGTCACTTCAGCTGCAACATATACACATTCATTTTCCTGTAAACATAGGACTTGTGGATAGGTTACTGTTTCACTCGACTTTGCGTGCTAAACTGGTCAACGATAACTTGGTAATTTCAAGTCTTACAGGTTTTGTCCTCGTATAGCAAACATTCACTTATCTCCATTATTTTCCTCCTCCGAAAATTTCGTCTCGCGTTCTTCCTCCATTATTTGTCTCAAATTTTACATTTTAGTTTATTTAAACATATGCACAATAATAGCGTTACCATCTCTTGCACTATAACTAGAGAGACGACCAACAGAATTGGAAATCTTAATTCATGAATTAATAATAATTGTCCTAGCAACAGGATTATAACTAAAGCTGAAGCCGACACATAAAAAAGAACCTACGCATAATTTGTACAATATGGATCACTCAACTCAACTACCGAAACTAATTCTCTCACTAAGCAATCAGGATAACGCTCATACCCTGGTCCCTATTCCTGAAAAGCCTGGCAAACAAACAAACTTGTCGAAATTGGTATCCTGACTTGCTTGTGTTGCCTGATACTACTGAGGAGAAATGATTAAAAACGATAATTGTATCTCATGCTCGTCGTTCGTTAAAACCTGTGATTCAGCTTTTTAATGTAGCTTATATACTGGCTGAGATCTCCGACGTTAAGGTACAGTATCGCTCAGACAGTACTACAGGTTTATGTTAATTAACCCCTATTCGTGGTTCAGATACATCTGCGCACAGTGAAAAGCAAATTCACCAGCGGAACTAACAAACAGAGTCTTAAGACTATGTAAAAATAACCTTAGACATCTCCACCAGTGTACCAAATTCGTACGACAAAATCTCAACCAAACTCGCGACCATGGGAGCCACAACATTGGCTAATACACCAGGGGAACTAACGACGATTTCTAACACCCCAGTATCTATCGAAAGTAAGGAGAAATGTATGGGCGTTGGGAGGGGATATATCAAAGCATAGCTCCCAAAACGCTGAAAAAGGAGGACAAGGACATTATATAAAACTCCCTGGTTTTAATTATTTTTCTAGTGTCGAAGAGTAGCTTAGTAGAACGTGTGTTAGTCTTTGATAAAAAACAGTGGGGCAAATACTGTCCATTGCTGGGAATAGTCATCACTTCACCTAAGCTATGCCGCTTTTATAAGGTCCAAAACGTATCAAAAGAATCTTCTCCTCTCACTAAAGGTAACTTTAGATTTGGCATACGTCACAAAATATCTTTTGCTGACATGCCAAAGACCATCGGTTAAGCAATCTCATTATTTATTTGGATACCGCAGACCGTGGGCCACAATAGATGACCCTAGAAAATTACTAAACATCCAAGAAACAAGAACGGTGGTTCACGGCGTGCCTGAACTAGTAGGCAGTAGTCGGAATGAAGCCCATGAAAACGATATGCGATCTTGGCGTTGGCTATCAAGCAGCATATGAATATGGTGATTAGCGTGACCAAGCTATCTCATCCGCCACGTCTCACGGCCAAAAATTCTCCTCATCTGATGGCTGCAAACTTCGGAAACCGAGGGGACTAACCTGGGGTCCTTCACGTTTGTTACAGCTCACAGCTCACAAGAGACCTCTTTAGTCAGCAGTGTAACAGCAGAGAAGCCCGACCAAACACACTTTGATGTCAACTAACCTTGGTCAACAACTCACCATACAGAACCCAGAGACCATGGACTCGATAATGGAAATCGTTATACAGGCGAAAATCTACAGTGGTCACTTCGCACAAATCTGGCTAACATACTTCAAACAACAGTCATCTTAAAGCTCAGAAGGCAGATGCTGCTGTAGACGAACACCAGGGGACATCAGAAACTATCAAGTGCATCCGAAGCAACGTAAGGTGACTAAGGGATAACTAGAAGAGGTCGAAAACATGTGATTTAGGTTGGAACTGAAAACTATGGCTCTGGCTACAACATGGCCATCACCCAACACCTTTGACGAAGACGTGAGCTCACAAAACATAACATTCTTCTCATACGATAGGATAGACAAGCAGGTGGAGTGAAGTTATACAATGACAGTCACTTTAAGTCCGTAACATCACGCAGTATCGCATTACCGAGGTGACAGAATCACGATGGAATTTCTCCATGAAGTTCTTGATTTAAGGAATACACTGACCTCCTTCACAAAATCACATGGACTTCACCGGATCACACTACGCAAAACCAGATAGACCATATCTTCATCAACAAAACATATAGGAGGACTATAGAGGACGTGAGAACCAAGAGAGGAGCTGATATAGCATCAGATCATCACTTGCTGGTCGTCAGGATGAAATGGAAACTCAAGAAGCACTGTAGAATGAGGCGGGCAATATCACAAATGTTCAATACGGCCTTTCTTCAGGATACTAACAAACTCAACAAATTCAAGATAGTCCTGAGCAATAAGTTTCAGGCCTTTCATGATCTACTCAATGGAGTGGGAACTATGGAGAACAACTAAAAAAGGAATAAAAGATGCAATCACTTCAGCTTGTCATGATGTTCTGGGCCACAAGAAGCACCACCACAAGGAATGGATCACTGTTGATACGCTGGACAAGATTCAAGAAAGAAGGAACAAGAAGGCAGCGATCAATACCAGTCGAACAAGAGCAGAAAAAGCCAAGGCACAAGCTGAATACACAGAAATAAACAAACAAGTGAAGAGGAGCATCACAACCGACAAACGTAAATATGTGGAAGATTTAGCACGACCAAGAGACTCTGAAAATCGCCGCAAACCAGAACGATCAGTGAAAAGTAAGGAAGGTGAGGTAATCATTAACATTGAAGAGCAACGAAACTGGTGGGTAGAACACTTCAAAGAACTTT